CTTGCCGAACACCCCGGGTGGGAGTGAACCCGTCGCTGACCCCTCCATTCCATTGCAACCTCATAGTGGCAAAAGTAACACACGCCATGACCGCATTAACATAAACAGCCGGAAATCCAGCAAGATCCAACGTCTCGCGAATAAAATCCCACCTGAGGTAGTCATAAGCCTTCTCCAAATCCACCTTTACGGCCATAAACCCCGTCTTTCCTGTCCTTCGTCTCATCGAGTGAATAAGTTCTTGTGCCATAACAATGTTATCCGTAATGTGCCGCCCAGGGACAAAGCTCGCTTGAGCCGGATTAATAATCGAAGGAAGCACTGTCTTCATTCGCTCCGCTAGAACTTTCGTTACCAACTTATAAACAACGTTAAGAAGACTGATTGGCCTAAAATTCTTTAAGCTCGTCGGATTTTCCACCTTAGGAATCAACACCAGCAGCGTGGAATTTAAAGAAGACGGCATTCGACCCCCGAGCCATATATCGCGAACCTGATCACACACAGATGGGCCAACATGATGCCACTGCTGCTGAAAGAAAAGAGCGTGAAGACCATCTAACCCAGGTGCTTTCAATGGAGCCATCTTTTGCAGAGCCCACAACACTTCAGCATCCGAGATTGCACGGCCGAGGGCCCGGAGTTTGGACCCGTCCACCACCGGGAACGCGGCTAGGATGCGAACCCGACACGCCCCCACGGCTAGAGCCGTGTATATATGCTGGAAGAAATTCACAGCCAGTTGCCGCATCTCGGTTTCGTCATGCACTAGTCTCCCATCATCGTCCAGAAGGAACGGAATCCTGGACTTCCGGCGCCGGTGCTTAACTAGCCGGTGGTAGTAGGCAGTATTCCTATCACCAAATAAGACCCAGTCCCTGTGAGATTTTTGAAGCATCAGTAACTCTTCCTGAAGAAGGACATTATCGAGTTCCGCCTGCAGCTGCGTCTCCAGGGAGCGAAGGAAAGGGTTTCGCAATAAGTCAGACTGTCGCTGGATCCCGCCAATGCGGGCTAAGAGCTTACGTTTTCGGTGAAAGATATTCCCGAAAACAGTGGAGTTCCAAACCCGAGCCTGAGAGATAAATTCCCCACTTAGGTGATCGTAAGAGCCACCAGCCGACCACACCTTCCCTACCAACTCATCAAATCCCTCATGTGTGAGCCAAGCTGCAAGAAATCTGAAAGGTTTAGGCCCCACCTTTCGAGTAGTCTTTGCGGCACGCACAAGCAGAGGCGTATGATCAGAATGAACCCGGGGCAAGTGATGTACCCTACTATCAGGGAACAAATCGAGCCACGCCTCATTACCAATCCACCGGTCCAATTTTTCTGCCAGCCCCGGACGGAACCATGTCATTTGTCTCCCGTCAGTTCGTAACTCCTGGAGGTCAAAGTTAAAGATCAACTCAGCAAACTCCGAGCTAATGTTACAATTCCTTAGCGAGCCGCCGAGTTTCTCAGAAACCCGCAACAAGCAGTTAAAATCACCACCAATGATCCATGGGCTCGTAACGCTCTCCGCAAGCTTGGACAAGCTACTCCAAAGATTGCGCCTCAAACGAGGGGTCGGGCTCGCATAAACAAATGTCACCAGCGCAGAAAAGTTCCCACGGCGAACGCTAGTATGTACGTGTTGGCGGCTACACTCCAGCACCCTCAAATCAACCTCCTCCTTCCAAAGGACCCAAATCCCGCCTGAGAACCCATTGGCTTCGACCCGAAACGACCGATCATAGCCACTACGTTTAATAAAATTATCCGCCCCCACACCACTAACCCGTGGTTCAAACAAAGCAAAAACATCGGGGTTATGTTGCTGCTTTAAAGTAGTAAAAGCCCTCCTGAAGCCATCAGAAGCAGCCCCTCGCACATTCCATGCTGCAATATCCATAAAACACTAATATACAAAGAGAGCGATGATGACCATCAAAACGAACTCGGGACTTGAGTCCCGGCCTCCGCATCCATCTCCATATCACGTGCACGCATCCCCTCGTCCTCGGGCAAGCTGCTGCATACTAAATCCAGTGCCTCCTCATCTGGCGGTCGTGGAGGATGGTCCTCCCTCACCCGCGGGTCGCCCGGGTCCAGCAACTCCACATCTGTCTCAAGAGGGGGGGGTTGAGGGGTTGGGTCCACCACCTGAACCACTTGATGCTTGGACGAATCCAGAGTAGATGGCATATGGGTCACTAGAGACGAGAAAGGATTCTGATGATTATCTCCGAAAACCGGCCGTTTGGAAGAGCCGGCCTCTCCAGACCGCGGCAACCCCTGAGACAGCCCACCCACATCCTTTCGGACACCTGATGACTCCCCCATGTCAGCCTGATTATGAACCTTAAGAGCGATCCCATTATTATTCTTTTTTTTACCAGTAACAGTCCGCCATTCGGTTTCCTTACCACGATTTGGCTTGCTCACACCCGTCAAGGGACTCCCCGTATGACCAGCGCCCTGGGCAAAAACACGACAGTCCTCTCCGGTGTCCTCACTTAAAACCTGAAAACGCGAGCCTGAGCTGTTCCTGGGCTCATTCTTCCTACCAGTGGAGCCCCCATCGCCCTTCTTAGCTCCAGGAGCCGACCGGCCAGTGGGTTTTGCAAGGAGCCAAGGCCCGTATAAACCCCTTCCCAATGTGTCGGACGACGCGGAACCATTGTTAGGACCTGTGGCTAGGATCCCCGGCCGTACCCCGCCATCCTCTTTAGCCGTTGTTGTCCGGGGAGTAGAGCCCCCATCCGCCACGCTAGCCGGAGCCACCTCAGTAGGCTTTGGTGCAGGGCGGTTGGGACAAGTGACCGTAACATGGCCATAGAAGCCACAATGAAAACAAATCTCTGGGAGGGACTCGTACTCGACACGCTGGAACTTCCCACGAATATTGAACCCGGCACATAATTGTTTAGATAAATCTAACACCACAGCTAGCCGGGCGAATTTTCCTCTTGTCTGTGCAGCGGTCTGATGGTCAATCTTAACCACCTTCCCGACGATGTCTCTAATTGTTCGAAACACCTTCTTGTGATACAGATGTACGGGCATACCGGGTAAGCGAATCCACGTCACCAACGAAGAGATTTTGTTACAAGAGGCATCAAACTCTTCATCCCACGGTTGGACGTGAAGATAAAATTTCTGGTACTGTTTTGATACCATCCAGGGGCCCCCAACAAGAACCCGAACAGCGTCATCATGTGTGTTAAACCGAATCTGGAAATAGCCATTCTCCAGGTCGATCATGTCACAACCATTCATGAAAGGCCACAAGGTGATCAACTTAGTATACAGCAAGTGCGGAGAAAAATTGGCTCCCATGACCTTCACGACCACCACATTTCGCCAAGAGAGCAGTAACTTGTCATAGAAGCTATCGGCAATACGAATATCCGGTAAAGGGCCCTTATGATCAACAGTAACTTCCAGCTCGGTCCCACTCTCATCTTCCCCATCCGATAGCAAATCAATGTGTGGACGAGAACCGCTGAGCATGTCCCGGAAGCTACGCCTCGTCGGGGGCACAGCGAGCGTAATTGGCTCCGGCGTAGCCTGCACACTATTTCCATCGACAACGACTTGTGTACGGGTGCATTTCAGGGATCGGGAGTTCTCCAATGGGGGAGCACTCAACTTCTGTAATTCCAGAAAATCAGCGTCGCTCCGGTCAGGCGGCTCGTATTTCGGGTCGTCCGGTGGGCTACGGTCGATCTCCATAGGTCAACGGCAAGGTTCTGGGAGAGCTAGGGTTTTTTTTTTCACCAGACTAAATTTCTTTTGTTTACCCAGATCTTTAGTAATTATATTCATGTTGACTTATGTTATTAATTTGTCATCAGGCTTCATTTAAATATGGATACCATGCTTTTTTTTTCTTTGGATTTAATTTGACATTTTTTTCCAATATAATTGTTGATAAACGGATTTTTTTAACTAATTTATGTAGTATCTCCAAGATTAATAGGGATCCAAGGTAGTTTAATTGCTAAAATGCGAGAATTTCGCTAACAGTTACAAGTCGGTATTTCGGACTTGAGGTCAGGTTTGATTCGTACAATTAGTCGGTTGTGAATGATAGACTGAGGTGTTTAATGCAGAATTCAATGTGTCGAAAAAAGATCCTCGTATCGAGTTAAATGCTGCTATTTATAGTAACTGTGGGCTCGTCTTTTTATGAGATACGGCGACATTTAATGCGGTGTGACATAGCGGGTCAGGCTTTCTATGCAGGTGGGTCCCGCAACAATGATGTTCTCACGTGGTTTTGGGACGTTTGATAGACATGCATTTAATGCGGCTTGTCGACTCCGACGTCAGCCTTCAGGGGGTTGTCCCCATTCGAGTCGGCCTTGCTGGGGAGGTCGGCACCTCTAGGGAGGTCGGTTTCTCCAGCTCGGGCAACTCTCCCTTTCACCTTTTCGACATGACTCGCGGCCCTCTCCTCGGTCCACGTGTCGTTCATCCTACGGGCGAGATGATTCTGAGGTCAACAATAAGGAAAAAAAAAAGGAAAGACTAGAGATAGAAATATTTTTATGACTATTATTTATTAATAATGTTTCAATATGTTAAATTTCATGTTCTTTAATTATGATAAATATTTTATATTTTATTAAATAAATAGAAAATAAAAAATTATATTAATATTAAAATTTAATTTTTTAATAATTATTATTATCATCCTGTACATTGTGTATTTCATGATTTGCTTACTAGTTTTATTGAAAAACATACTATGGTTTTTAGACAAAAATTAGTACTAATCGACAAATCTATCACCCCACCGAGTTTTGCGTCTTCTTAATCTCCGCTTTACTACACCAACAGTCCACACCTAAATCTCCGCTTAATTAATTACCCCATTTTCCCTTTCTCCCACTTGCAAATCTCTCTCTCTCGCTCTCTCTCTCTCTCTCTCTCTCTCTCGCCAAACACACCGTCACTCAAATCTTCTCTCTACCTCTTACTCGACCACCGCAAGCGCAGGCTCTCCGGCAGTAATGGGCTCCGTCTCTCTGAAGATCGGAGATGGGACCGCCCGATTCAAGCGGGCGACGATCTGCTCCTCCGCCCTCAACCTCCTCATGCTCTTCTCCGTCATCACCACCAATCTGTTCGCCCTCTACGCCTTCACCCACCACGCCCCCTCCTCCCACCACCTCCACCACTACCCCAAGAACATCTCCTTGATCTCCGAAAAAGTCAGCCTCATCCTCCGGGAGATCGAATCCTCCCAGAAAAAGCTTGCCCTGATGGAGAAACAGCTCCTCGGCTACGAAAGCCTCGATCTTTCCAAACCCAACATCCCCGCCGAGCTCAATCAGTTCCTGAACCGCCACCAATTGCCTCTGGGCAAAGATTCGAGAACTGGGATCACGGAGATGGTCTCCTCCGTCGGCCATTCCTGCGGGAAATCCATGGATTTGCTTTCCCAGTACATGACCTACAAAGTCAACGGCCCTTGCCCGGACGACTGGAGCCTCGGCCAGAAGCTGATTTTGCAAGGGTGCGAGCCTCTGCCCAGAAGGAGATGCTTCGCCAAGACAATGCCGAAAACGGGTTTGCATCCTTTTCCGGCCTCCTTATGGAAAAACGTTAGTGAGAAGATTTATAGCTGGGCCGGTATGGGCTGCAAGAATCTAGCTTGTTTGAATAGCAAGAAACTGAATAGGGATTGTGCCGGTTGTTTTGATATAGTTCGTGGGTATGAGACCCAAAAGTATGTGAAGGCTAGGGGGAAAAATGATTTCTTGATTGATGATGTGTTGGCTATGGGGAGTGGAGGAATTCGAATCGGGTTTGATATCGGTGGCGGTTCGGGTACTTTTGCGGCCCGTATGGCTGAGCGGAATGTGACGATTGTGACGGCCACTTTGAATGTGGATGCGCCTTTTAACGAGTTTATAGCTGCAAGGGGACTTTTCCCTTTGTATTTGAGCCTTGATCATAGGTTCCCATTTTACGATAATGTGTTTGACGTGTTGCACGCGGGAAATGGGCTGGATGTGGGTGGCCGTCCCGAGAAATTGGAGTTCTTGATGTTTGATATAGATCGAGTGCTCATGGCAGGTGGGTTGTTTTGGTTGGACAATTTTTACTGCTCGAGTGATGATAAGAAATCGGCCCTCACTCGGTTGATTGAGAGGTTTGGGTACAAGAAGTTGAAGTGGGTCGTGGGCGAGAGACTAAATGGAGCGGGGAAGACGGAGGTTTACTTGTCTGCTGTTCTGCAAAAGCCGGTTAGGGTGTAATAAATGATTTAATTCTTGTTACATAGTTTTGAATTTCATCCAAGTTTGTTTCTTTTGTATGGTTGTGATTTGTTGGGGATGCCAATAACTGAAAGGCAAAAGCAGAATCATTTGCATTTGTAGCTTAAAAGGTGATAGTTGAATTTTCACTCTGCTATATCTTGCATCACTTATACAACAGAGAGAGAGAGAGAGAGAGAGAGAGAGAGAGAGAGAGAGAGAGAGATTGTAATAGAAGAACAATGTTTTCTTTTTCACTTTAATCCTTATGATTTTGGGTGTTATTATAACAAAATGGAAGCCTAAGTAGATTTCTGTAGATGACAGTTTATTCTGATAGCACAAAAGTAGAAAAGCACAAGACATCAACAAACTGCATAATAAAAGTTCTTTCTGAAGGGAGTCTCTACAGATACAATTAACAACAATGGCAGCTTTACAAACATGCTAAAAACCAAAGCCCCTAACAAAACATAGAACAAGAACTCCATAACCGTGTTAATTTCGCAATCGCGCCTCGTTTTTAAATGATTCCTTTCGTGATAAAATCAGTTCAAATCCACTTCAAATGCAGCCAACTTCCGAGATTAAGCCGTTATTAATAACTTGAACGGAGTTTAAAAGCCTCATCCCCTCTTCCCCCATCTGCTGAACTTCCAATGGCGATAAAATTCGTATGCACTTCACACAACCCACAAATTCCCTGCAAAATCAGCACACATTTGCATAAATAAATCTTTTATACAGACACAAAAACCGTTGTTTTGCAGTCTAACGGGTCGAATTTGGTTTGATGGGTCACCCGTCATGCATTCTGAACAAAAACGGCATCTTGTCGTGCGACATTTTTTTCAACCGAAAAAAAAGGCTATTTTAATAACTATATTGAGGCCTTATAATGTTTTGTATATACTTTGATAATTAACTGGATCATCAACGGACTTACTCCCAAGGATCATCCCCAACGAGAAGAACATCATTTTCGAAATCCACGTACACGAGCTTCCACCCGGAGCTCAAGTCATTGAGAAGTCCCTCCAGACCAAACATGCGCTCAATTTCCGAACACAGATCATCGTAATTTCCAAAACTCGAGACATCAATGGACCTTCCAACAGATCCAGCCTTTTGAATCTATCGAAAAAAGCAAAAAATATATAAATAAATCATCAGGAATCATAACAGAATAAATTATAAATACGATATTTTGGACATCCTTACCTTAGTATAAGTACGTAACCTCCGAGTCACCTTCTTCCACGAGCAATGCTGCTGCAAGATAGCGTTATCCTCGAAATCCACATTACTCGAGGAAGCCCCGCCCGAGTTGTCCGCAGCATATTCGTGTATCGAGAAATTATGGGAATCCGCCAGGCTGGCGGCCGACGTGATCTGGGACTGCACGTCTTGGGTCGAGCACATGTTACTCACGAGATAATCGGACGGGTTTTGAAAATCGACACCCTTCATATTGGCAAAATCCTCGAAAACTGTGCTGGAAACCGAGAGGTCGATCACAGTGCTCCCGCTGTTACTCCCGTCAAGATTCAGACAGCCGTATAATATGTCCCCACTCTGATTATTATTGTTCTCGACCGGCAGGTCCTTTAGATCACATGAGCTGTACTGAAAGTTGAAAATGTCCGGATTAATCCCGCCGTTAACATGCGGGTCCCACGGTTCCTGTCCTACAAGCGGGTCTGCTCGAGGGTGCATGTCCCATGCAGTGGGGTGCCCCACGGAAGAAAACTCGTTCACAAGGTTTTGTGGATTTATGAGCTTCTTCACGGGTGCTTTTTCTTCGTTTAAATGAAACGGGCTCGACTCGACTCGTTGTTTCATGAGCATCTTCACCAGCTGGTCTGACCATAGGCATGTTGATATCGGGGGGCACTGAATATCCGGAAGGGCATTTTCGGGAATTCGGAGGAAAGGTGGTCGGTTTATCAGAGTCTCCCATTCTGTTTGTTCTCCTGATAACAAGACAGACATACACACAAATACAGTATTAAACAGCTACTTATTGGTGCTAATATCCTAATACGAAAAGGGGGGGAAAAGGCATGCAAAAGGAAACCGGATAAAAAAAAAAATGTCATGTGAGGTTTACCGGTGAATGCAGAGTGAAAGGAACGTTTGAGGTTGGTAGATAGAGATGGGAATACGAAGATGCTCTCGGGCGTCTCGATTTCCCACGGACTGACTCTGTTTCGCCTGTCACCACAGCCCGGTTCATCCCACTCCACCTGTCATTTAGGAAAAAAAAAAAAAACAAATTTAGTGAAAAACAAATTGCTTTAAGAAAAACATTTACTAATGGAAATTCTAGTATCAAGCTCATGGACAATTTCATTTCATTCATAACAAGGACTAGTTACAAATGTCACCCTTGAGTTAATTCTAACTACAAGAAGACCCGCCTATTTTTCATAATTATGAATGACACCCCATCAGTATATGGTCCTATAAATTGCACTCAGTTTGTTAAGCTAAGTGAAGAATTTAAAAGAAAATTCATAAGTGTACTTGTCATTGAAATATAGCCGGATAACTTCCTTATATTGTCTCAACCAAAATTTTCACAATTTAAATACTTCTCGGTGAAGGATCCTCATTCTCAAGTCAAACAAATCTACCTGAAGACTACGCCACTTTGAATTAGGCCATCTCAGTGGATCTAAGTCACTTATGCCGGTGATCGTCCCCATATACCTTTACAAACAAAAGAGAAGTCAGGACTTAACAGCAGAAAATCCAAGAAAACGAAACAATTGATAACCTAAATCAAGTAAAAGCTGCTCATTTTAAACATTGATGATGAATATGAAAATTTCACCTCCTTTTAGTGGATTCTTCAGTTTCGAACATCATGCCTAACCTCATACCGATCGAGAGCTGAGTGCTATAAACAGCCTTTTGATACTTGTCAAACGGTACAACAAAGTCTGAAGGACATGCCCTGCAAAATACAATAATTATGATTTACAGCCAAAAATGAAGCTTCAAATGTTTTTGTTCTACTTACTACTAAAGGTAAATGATGCAAGAGAGCCTTTTCATGAACAAAGTTAACAAGAAGCTTTTGCTTAGATCATTTTATAGAAGTTGGCGAAATGCAGCATATTTCGAATTTGTGTTTTGAACCTAAGTGTTTTGAATTTGTGTTTAACATATTTCGAATACCTTGGATTGTAAAAGATAGTAAAAGGGCTTCTATTAGAGGCAGCATGAGCAGCAGCAGCAAGAATTCCTATGTGCATGCTGTCGGCCGACAGAACTGAAGACGGTAAATTTGTTTGCTGGCGGTTAACACGTCTAACTCCCAACAGTAATTGCGACTTTTCATCCCTACATTGATTTTAAAAAAGAGAAAAAAAAAACATTGACACTTTTAAAAACTTGAAATCTTGGCAATGTCACAAAGTTCAAATGTTCATATTGGAGCATAAAAAATTGCACACTTTTTTTTTTTTTTTGGGTGGAACCTAAATATATGGTGGTTGATACATGACACTGCCAATTGTGTGACAAAGAGACTTCCTAACAAATATATAATTGGGTTTTTACAATTAATCTTGTATTTAGGACATTTGTGTATTGGGCCTTTAATTGTATGGCATTACCATCAGCCCAATAGGTTTTCTATCCTTAGTATAAAAGGGAAACACTAGGGTTTCCCAAACACAATTTGTACTTTCGCATTTTCTTAATATCAAAAGCTCTCTCTATTTTTTCTCTCGTTTGCACAGTTCATCTCCCATACTGTTCAATGAATCATATTATGGTATCAGAGCCGAGTTTCAATCGATCCTCGTTTCTAGTTTTCCGCTGCATCATATTTTTTAGATTTTTTGTTCGAAATCTCGATCGGTTTTTGGATCTGTAGATCTGGTTCTCGTAACCCTAGATCTATTTTTTCAAACCCTACGATTTGAGTTTTTCACTCACGATCGGTGATTCCTATGGCTGCTGCACCACCTACTGATGATCCATCGTTACCATTCTTCCTTCACCCGAGCGATAATCCGGGTGCACTCATCGTTGCAGAGATCTTTAATGGCGAAAACTATGTTTCCTGGTCACGAGCAATCCTCATGGCTCTCAGTGTTAAAAATAAAGCCGGTTTCATAGATGGTACTGTTTCTGTCCCTTCTCTTACTCAATCCCCTGTTGAATCTCTTGCATGGGTCAGGGCAAACAATCTGGTACTTTCATGGCTTCTTAACTCTGTGACTAAGGAAATTCGTCAATCTTTGCTATTTTTCACTGTTGCTAAAGATGTTTGGGATGAAATCAAATCTCGTTATGCCTTGAGTAGTGGTCCTAGGGTTTTCCAACTTGAAAAATCACTCAGTTCTATGGACCAGGGCTCATTATCTGTGACTCAGTATTATAATTCTTTCAAATCTTTGTGGGATGAGTACATTACTTACCGACCTGTTATTCGTTGTACTTGTGGTGCTTGCAATTCATGTACATGTAATATTTTTGATGCCATGTCAAATGCTCAACAGTCTGATTCTGTCATGAAATTTCTCATTGGTCTTAATGAGTCATATTCTTCTCTGAGAAGCCACTTTCTATTGACATCTCCATTGCCTTCCTTATCCAAAGTCTATTCTCTTTTACTTCAAGAGGAGAGTCAAAGAAATTTACATGTTCCAAACAAAACTGCTGATCATCTAGCCATGCTTCTCAAAACATCCCAGTCTCAAAACAAATTTCATCCTCCTCAATCCAAACAGCAAACATTTACCAAAGATAAGAAAAAACAAAAATGCCAACACTGTGGTTACAGTAATCACTCTTCTGAAAGGTGTTATCAAGTTATTGGATATCCCTCTCATTGGGTAGGTCCTAAGGGTCCTCGGGTTCATCCTTCTCATACTGCAGCCAACTCTGTTTCTTCTACTATCACAAACCCAACCACAAATCCTTCTGAACATAATAATCACTCCCTTACTGATGAGTTCAATGAGTTTTTAGACTTCAAAAGGTCACAGGCTCTTAAACAGACCACAACTCAACAACATGTTTCCCAATCTCCTGTTGTTGCTACTGCCTTTACCCCAACCAGTTCTACAGGTAATTTGCATCTCTCATGTTCTGCACATGCATTCTTTGATAAACATACTTGGATTCTTGATACTGGTGCAACAGATCACATGATCTGTGATCAATCTTTATATTCTTCTCCTCCTACTGCTGTTAATATTAAAGTTAACTTGCCTAATGGACAACATACTTCTGAATGCCATGTGGGACAGATAAATCTGGGACCTAATCTTGTGCTGCAAAATGTTTTGTTTGTTCCTAATTTCTCTTTCAATCTTATTTCTGTGTCCAAGCTGACTTCTACAAATAATTGTGTTGTAAATTTTCTGTCATCCTATTGCCTATTGCATATTACAGGACATCAACACCAACAAAATGATTGGTTTTGCTGAAGTCAAACATGGTTTATACCATCTATCTTTTAATTCTGTTCATCATGCTGCCAATACCCTTATCAATCATGTTTCTGATATTTCTGTAATTGACAACCATGTACCTAATAACCATGTATCCTCCAATACCTATGTACCTAATAACCATGTATCCTCTGATAGTTCTGTTGCAACTGTATCCTCTCATGAAACTGAACTATGGCATGCCAGACTTGGACATTTATCTTTTCATAAACTTTCTCAACTGCCTATATCTGTTAACAGCAAACAACATTTGCATAATCCTTGTGATATATGTCATTTCAGTAGACAAAAGAAATTATCCTTTCCTGTTAGCACATCTACTGCATCTACTGTTTTTGATTTGATCCATTGTGACTTATGGGGACCATTTTCTGTGACATCTATATCTGGCCATAAGTATTTTCTTACTATTGTTGATGATTACAGCAGAACCACTTGTATATATCCATTAGTTTCAAAATCAGACACTCATTATTATCTTCAACATTTCTACAATTTGGTTTTCAATCAATTTCAAAAGAAAATCAAAACCATTAGAACTGATAATGGTACTGAGTTTTTACTGCATGATTTTTATCATTCTCATGGCATAATTCATCAAACATCATGTGTAGAAACCCCACAACAGAATGGTAGGGTTGAGAGGAAACATCAACATTTACTTTAAGTAGCAAGAGCCATTATGTTTCATGCTCATTTACCTTTACACTTTTGGATAGATTGCATAACTGCTGCTGCTCATATCATAAACAGAATTCCTTCCAAAATTCTTCATGGAAAATCACCTTTTGAACTTCTTTTTCAAAAGAAACCAACATATGATCATTTCAAAATCATAGGATCATTATGTTATGCATCCACTTTACAAAAAGCCAGAAAAACAAAATTTTCTCCCAGAGCATCTAAGTGCATTTTGCTTGGCTATCCCCTTGGTTGTAAAGGTTATAGGCTTTACAATCTGGATACCAAGAACATTATAATCTCCAGAAATGTCATCTTCTATGAGCATATTCTCCCTTTCAAAAATCCCTCCTTACTCAGTTCTGACAATTCTGACAATTCTTCTATCTTATTTCCTCCCCCACCAGATTTTCCTTATGACCCTATCAAACCAAACACAACACAACAGACATTACAAACAACTTCCCCACCAACACCTTCTAGTCAACCTGCAACATCAAATGATCATACTATCTCCATTCTTAACCAACCTACCACAGACACTACTACCCATTCTACCTCTGATTCTCCTACAATTAGAAGATCATCCAGAAAAAGAACAACACCTTCATACCTCAACATTTACAAACACTCTCTTCCCCCAACCACCAACCTTATCTTTACTGAGGCTCCTGAAGACATTTCTGGTACATTTCATACCAATACTCCATATCCTATTGAAGATCATCTTTCTGTTGCACAATTGTCATCCTCTCATGCATGTTTTACTGCTTCCATCTCTGTCTTGACTGAACCAAAAACCTATAAACAAGCTGTTAAGGACCCACTTTGGCAAGAAGCCATGAACAAAGAGCTACAGGCTCTTGAGAAAACTCAAACTTGGGTCCTAACAGACTTACCTCCTGGTAAACATACAATAGGTTGTAAATGGGTTTTCAAAATCAAATACAAATCAGATGGTTCAATAGAAAGATATAAAGCAAGATTAGTAGCTAAAGGGTATACCCAAGAAGAAGGAATAGACTACTTTGATACTTTTTCTCCTGTTGCTAAAATAACCACAGTTAGACTTCTTCTTGCTGTTGCATCTATCAAATCATGGCATGTGCATCAATTAGATGTTAACAATGCATTTCTGCATGGTGATCTCCATGAAGAAGTTTACATGACCCCACCCCCTGGTTACATATCTGATACTTTGCATGATTCAAGGGTTTGCAAGCTTACAAAAAGTCTATATGGCCTTAAACAAGCCTCTAGACAATGGTTTCAAAGGTTAACCACATGTTTATTACAATATGGTTTCACTCAATCCATCTCTGATTGTTCATTATTCACTATGCAATCTGATAATCATTTTTTAGCTCTGTTGGTATATGTGGATGACATTATATTGACTGGTGATGATATTACTCAAATTCAGGACATCAAAACTCATTTAGATACCTGTTTTACAATAAAAGATCTTGGTCAATTAAAGTATATTCTAGGCATTGAAGTTGCACATTCTGAACAAGGCATAAATCTATGCCAAAGAAAATATGCCTTAGATATTCTCTTTGATTCTGGTCTTTTAGCTGGTAAACCTGCCAACACACCTATGGATATTAATCTTAAGTTAACATCTCTATCTGAATCACAAGATAAATCCATAGATCAAACCTCTTACAGGAGATTGATTGGCAGGCTACTGTATCTAACTATTACAAGACCAGATATTTCTTATAGTGTGCAGGCTTTAAGTCAGCATATGAGCAATCCAACTGAAGTCCATCTCAATGCAGCACATAGAGTTCTCAGGTACATCAAACAATCTGTGGGGCAAGGTATCCTCTTTCCTAGAAGCTCTTCCTTGTCTTTACATTGCTTTTGTGATAGTGACTGGGCTAGTTGCATTGACTCAAGAAGAAGTATTACTGGTTTCATGTTTATTCTGGGAAATTCCTTAATTTCATGGAAATCAAAGAAACAGACAACAGTCAGCAGGTCCTCTGCAGAAAGTGAATATAGAGCCTTAGCTTCAGCATCATGTGAAGCTCAATGGCTTCTATATTTACTTTCTGATTTAAAAATCTCACATCATTTTCCAGTGTCTGTTTTCTCAGATAGCAGGTCAGCCATTGCAATTGCCCACAATCCC